CATATGCAGTATCTGTGTCTGAACATTGGAATATATATATATATATATATATATATATATGTCATATGCAGTCTCTGTGTCTGAACGTTGGAATATATATATACTGATTCCATTGTATTTCTCTCTACAGTCGTTCTCCAGTCTTTCTATGCGTCCGAATGTTACATCGCAGTTGTCCATGGGTTATGGCCTGCAGGGTTCTCCATCCCTTGCCCGGCGACTAAGTTCAGCATCACCTGCGGCACTGACAGGACACCAGGGATCGCATGATGTGGTGGTGCAAGTGGCTCTGCTATGCTCAGACATACACTTGCAGGAAGAACTCAGGTTACAGGGTATGTATATTGCGTATAGGCATGCATACCTACCTACGTCTCTATAAAAATACATTTTGTATATTTTTTTACACCTCCTATAAACATACATTTTTGTATATTTACCTACATCTCTACAAATATACGTATTAATATTTGGGGTGGGGGTTAGTGCCTGTACGTATATATCTTATGTGTTGTGGCTGATTTTCTGTGTCACCAGTGGCATTGATTGGACATCGGGGGTCACCTATTGTGGTGGTGTAAGTGGCTCTGCTGTGCTTGGACTTGCACTTGCAAGTAGAAGTTGGGTTGCAGGGTTTAGGGTTAGAAACCCTAAACCCCTTGGGTAAGTATATGTCAGCCGGTACATCTCCATATACACACACACATTTACACCTTTACCTTTATACCCACACGCCTAGCCACACGCATTCGTCTGTGTACGTGCTTGTGCGGTTGCATGTGCATGGCCCACTCACTCATACCTGCACATCCCCTACCATACCTACACCATGCCTGAACCAAACCATAGGCATAGAAACGGAAACCCCTGAGGAACTGTATCCGTTCACTGTGCTCAAAGCCAGCGAGCTGGGCAAAGCGTACGTTTATTTGGGACGCGATGACAAACAGATACTCAGCGGTCGACCGCTGCGAGACATTGGCATACTCAGCACCTGCAAGGTCTATCGAAGTAGGGGACAGGTGAGTGCGTGTGTATAGGCTACGCTACTATAGGCTGTCTGTGGGTTGTGATATAGGCTCGGTTAGAATGGTTTGTTTGTAGTGGTATGAGGAGTGTATCGAGTTGTAGAGTAGTATGCAAAACATCAGAAATAGGTGCTCGTGACTCAGATAGACACACACACACACATATAGATATATATATATATATATATATATATGTATTTATAAATATATATATTCATGTGTGTGTGTGTGTGTGTATATATATATATTATATATATTATAATTATATATATACATATATATATATAAGTATGTATGTATGCAATTATGTATGTATG